TTGTAACATGAAAATTCTTATTCGACAAGACAAATCTTTCATTAGGAATTTTCATACGGTCATGTTTAGTGAACTTGTTCTCTAACAAGCACCCACATATATGTACTTGCGTCACACGTTAGTGTTGATGGAATGCAACATTCTTGTCCAACAAGCATACATCATATGTGCAAGTCTTTTCCGGATTATTCGATATCCCATCTCGAAACATCCAACGACTTGGAACTGTATTTAAGATCATATCTTTCAAGATATGTTCCATGAGCACCATCTCTATGCACAACCATATCTTATAGCTATAAGTGATCTAAAGACTTTATCTTAAGTGCAAATATATGATAAATACTTACTCTTAAAATAAAGTAATGTCTTTTATTTAATATAATTCCATTAGATTGTATTTACAAGTAAAATACGTCCAATACGATTGGAACGCCGGGTATACTACTCTAACAATCTCCCACTTGCCCTAGTTCCAATCACTCATGTATCTTAGACCCATCTTCTCAAGATGTCCTTCGAACACTTTCTGTGATAAAGGCTTAGTTAAGGGGTCTGCTATATTTTTTACTGAGTGGACTCGATCGCCTCTACCAATGATTTCTCTAATCAAATGGTATCGTCTCATAATGTGTTTGGATCTTTGATGAGATTTTGGCTCCTTTGCTTGCGCAATAGCCCCATTGTTATCACAATAAATCGTTATTGGATCAACAACAAATGGTACTACACCCAACCCTTGGATGAAATTCCTTATCCAAACAGCTTCCTTTGCAGCATCAGATGCAACAATATATTCAGCCTCTGTAGTAGAGTCAACAATCGTTTCTTGTTTGGAACTTTTCCAACTAACTGCTGCTCCATTCAGAGTGAATAAGTATCCAGACATGGATTTATAGTCGTCTTTATCAGACTAATAACCAGAATCTGTAAAGCCTTCTAGTTTCAATTCTCCATTGCTGTATACCATAAAGATATCCTTAGTCCTTCGTAAGTACTTAAGAATCATCTTAACGGCTTTCCAGTGTTCGTCACCTGGATTAGACTGATATGTGCTCGTTACACTTAGTGCATGATCAACATGATCAACATCAGGTCTTGTACATAACATTGCATACATAATTCTACCAATAGCAGATGCATAAGGTATATGACTCATCCGTTCTCTTTCTTCAGGTGTCTTTGGAGACATCGTCATAGAAAGAGAAACCCCATGACTCATTGGAATATATCCACGTTTGGATTCTTCCATA